AGACTACTAGGGATTAGCTAGAAGTAGCAAATAGGTACTAGTATACTCACCTCAGCTGATGAGCCATCCGTCGCCAGGGTCCGCTCTTTCAATGATACTATCCCCTTCCACTGGGAGGATACCCAATCATATTGCAAGCAGGCTATACATGACACTGCATGGGAGTGTTACATTGACTGGTATCAACACTGCGACAAGAAACGCAAATCTGAGCCTGATGGCGATGAATTAACTAGCACTCAATATTTCCACACCTGACGTCTCCCAACCTTCTGTCTCATCTTCTGCCTCCCAGCCATCTGGTTCCACCGCTTTCGGTTTCCCTGCAAAATTTCCTTCCATGTCTCCACCCACAACACCCAAAAAGACGAAGAAGACGAAGAAATCCAGGGTCTTACATGCGGGCAAGTCAGGATGACTGCATCACGGACTCACGGTGCGTGCTGGGCGAAACTGAATGCCGATTGGATCTCTCAGTACTATATATGCATATTACATCTTCGCCAGTCTTGTGATGTTTCTTTTTCATGACCCCAAAATGTATGTACAAGACACCCTGACTGCGGAATTACTATGACCATTCTGCATTTTACTTTCTTCATCGAGTGTGCAATGTGCGTAACACGTGTTGTCATGTACAGTATTTATTTCAATCTTTTGTCAAGGAGTACTCTCGCTGTCAAAGACCCAAAGATGCCTAATGCTCAACGACCCAGTTGTGCAAAAAAAGTAGCCCCATCTAAACCTGACATTACTCATGCTTCTTCACCTCCACCTCCTGTTACACCTGTCATACATGCAGATGCAGCTCCCACTGCAGACCTCGCTACTTCTGCAGTCCCTGAGGGAGGATCAAACAAGCCGCACCAATGCCACCTTCGTCCTGCTGTTACCATTGAAGAAATAGAAGATGAAGAAAACTTCAATCTTGATAGAGTTACTTCTGGCAGTGAGGACGAGGATGCAGCTTCTAGCAGGGCTCCTGGCCGAAGAACCACCACTTCAACAGAGCCTTCATATCCCCTTTCTTCACAAGCAACTATCCCCGATCCCCTTCTCAACCTCACTGGGTCGTCCCAATCGCACAAGAAGAATAGTGCTGCTGACGTGCAATACTTCTTCCGTAGACTAGAGGATCAACGATCGGAGTGCACAGAGTGCAGGTAAGCTTTCTGTGTTGGGCAATAAGATATTTTCTAATGATGACGCAGGAAGATTTTTGACAGCAGCCCTGCCGCTCTTGGTCAGCGCCTGTTTGTTTATTCCTCCAAGACTGGAAACTCCATGCTCCACAGTCACATCGACAAATGGCATCTTACCTTGTACCTTCAACTGGAGGAATGGAGCCGGAACCCTCCAAATTGAGCATTCAAATGTGATGCGAAATTGATACTGTCCTTGGGAGAGGACCAGGTTTTGATCTGACTGAGCCTTGCTTGTGAATCCTTTCCTGAAGGGCCTCAACTGCCCAAACCAAAGTGCCAAGCTGTTGCTTGAGCACCAGAATCCATTTGAGCTCCCTTTCAAGAGTGGAAACCCAACTTTCCAGGACAGTGATGACTGCATCTTTTGAATTGTTGGTTAGGTGGGGAGTGGGGATGGAGGCTAGGAGAGGTGGGGTGTTGAGGGCCCAACCAGGATGGCCTGGCTGATGGAGTGGGATGGGATGGGGTGGGATGGAAGCCACTTTGGGATCACTATGCCATCATAAACTATCAATATCAGTTGGAAATAGAAACATTTGTAGACTACCAAACTTACCAAGTGTCAGTTTAAGACTTGAGCCACCAGGGGTGGAGCTTGGGCTGGTTTCAGGGGCGGGGGTCTTGGGCCTCAGCTTTGATGCTGAATGTTTGACCTTCCTCCTTGGAGATGGACCGGGTGCCAGACTTGGGGCATGATTGGCAGGGGTGGTAGCTGAAACCATCATGGCCTTGAGCGGTTGACAGGATGGGGCTTTTGAAGGAGCCCTTGATGCTGCCCTGCTTGGGCCACTGGATTCCTGATGTGTGTGTGTTGACAAAATACAGTGAACTCCAGAACCGGAACAACAAACTCCGCATTTCCAGAACATTGGAATGCCTGCCCCCGCTCCGCTGCCAGGCGGAACCGCTTGGAATCAATCCGGAATTTGTGCAGACATGTGGACCCTTATTGTATTCCATCATCCTTTGCTTGTTATCATTCCCAAGCCTCTGGGGATGCTCCGTCACTTCCTTACATCACTTAATCCCAAATTCCTCTTGTTCCTGTTCCTATTCCCTGATTATCATTAGTGAGTGCTTCTCCACCCACTCTGTTATATACATATACTTAGTTTTCACTTTGGATTCCTCAGTCTTTGCCCCTCTTTGGCAGCAGCTCCCAATGACTGCATAACGTTGGCGACAGTGTCTTTAAGCTGATCGGTGGCAGTTGCAAAGAGTTTATCGACTTTGGACATGTCAAGAGTCGGATAGAAGGACTAGATTGAGTTGTCAGGATCTCGGCTTGTTATGACCTGGGGACGACACTCATGCCGTGCGCAGTAGTCAGAGAATCCTTACTGTCGAAGTTGAAAGAACCTTCTGGGGTGCGGAGACAGACAGTGTAATTGATGGCACTCAGTGAGATCCAGTTGATATTGTGCATGATGATGTGTTTAAATTAGGCCTCCTCCTGGCCAATGAAATCCTCATACAGGAGCCTAGGCATGCTACGGAGATGCTTTGCGGCTGCACTACGTTCATTGGGCTGATTATACTTTTTCTCGAGAATGGTGATCATGAAAGCAAGTTTGAGGCTGGGCCGAGTCCCTAAAGAGAGAAGCTTCTCCTTCATTTCTTTTCTCGAAGAGCTGAATCCAATCTCGCCAGCCCAAAGCTCTTCAGGCTCCCATACTACTTTCCCGTACTTGACAAGACACAGCTGAAAATCAGGAATGATGTTTGACTCGGCGACACGGCTGTTGCATGCCGGTTTAAGTCCTACCAATGTTCGGCTGAGGGGAATGAGCTGTGAGTAGACAGCCATGGCGGTAGTGAAATCGTGGATGGGTGCTTCATGGATGGAATGTCTACTTTTGTGGTATGTCATAATTCTCATGGACTGTTACCACACTACTTACATCACTTACATCACTTACATAGGTGCAGTACCTCAGCGCATTATTGGTGTCATTGCCCAAGTCGTGATAGGCCTAGCATGGCTATTCACACTACATAACATCTACATCAATGCGACAACATTTACTCGGCATAACGACACAGATTCAGATGACGGTCCACAACCCTCTATTGGATGGGTCCTGACGACTTTGGGTCACCTGCAACATAGTGTCAGAACCCTGTTCAATCACATCAGTAAGTCAGCATCCCTGCCCTCGAAAACACTCCCTAATGCTTCTTGGTGTCCACAGAAACCACCTTCACCATCTCTCAGCCCAAGCCACCAAATACTCGCAAGTCAGCATGGCCTTTGAACATGGTATATATTTTATTTTATTTTATTTACAAGGTGTTGCACTTTGATCACTGAGAATTTACAGAATTCTTCCGATCAATCCCTGCTGGCGAAGAACGAGAACTTGATTTCACACCAGGAGCTGAGCAGTAGTGTAGATTCCCTTGTCGCAGTGTAAAACTAAGTAGCCGAAGTTACTGTACGCTATGACTATCTTAATATACACCAATGGAACCACGAGCACACAATCAGGTCACCTGAGCCCATATGCCTTGGAGGCTGAGCGCTGAGCGCTGACCAACAACATTCATCATGACCTCCCCATCCACGAAAACGTTAGATCACATCGTGCATCTCACACCGCCTGGGACAGTAGCAGAGGTATCGCAACAATTCAGAGATTTGGGCTTCCAGTTCGCGCTGCACCTCTCAACATCTCCTGAGATTACTCAAACCTTCCTTACAGTGTTACACCCGGCGGAACTCATGCTGGAGGTCTCACAGAGAATGCTCTTGTGGTATGACTGTATTCACATGCTTCTCGGATACATACGTTGAAGCATATATCACGCAGATCCTGGGAGACGGTGCTTACCTGGAGCTCATATCGTTTACTCACCCAGCCTCGCATTACCCACCCGGATCCCCCGATCGCCAAAAGCGCGATGCGAACCCTTGGGCTTGGAAAAAGCCAGGATGGATCGACTATGCCTTTCTCGGCTCGTCGAGCATGTCCATCTCAAGTATCATCAATGGACGCGCGAAGCAGGATGACAGTGGTGTGCGATATGCCCCCGAGGTGGACGGGGGCCGAGTACGAGACGATGGCAAGGTGCTCCAGTGGGTGATCAGTGCGCCGGAAAAGAATCACGTTCGGGGTACTGTGCCGTTCTTCTGTGGCGACGTGACGCCTCGAAGCTGGAGGGTTGGTGCGCGCTGGGTGGTTTTCCGGGACTCTTTCTGATCGATCGATTCGTTGGAGCACAGGTCCCCATCGAGCCACCATCAAACGCGGAACATCCTTCCGGTGTACAAGGGGTCGCACATATCCATCTTTTGGCAGAGGCAGAATCACTGGCCAGGGTGTCTGCTCAGCTGACGTCGGTAGTTGGCGAGAGCCCACAGATGAACGCCATGGGGACGGAATATATCTGGTTGTTGAAAACTCCGTCAGGAGCATTAGGTGCTCAGAGACCATCGTTGATCTTGAATGCGCCAAGGAATGATGACGAGGAGGGATATCTCACCGCAAGGGGGCCAGGCATATTTGAGGTAGCGTTTTCGGTCGGGAAAGGAGGTACAGAAAGAGAATCGAGGACACCGTACGGCAGGATAGTTTGGTTAAGGTCGTAGGCGTCCTGTTAAAATGAATGTCAGTATCAACTATCAACTATCAAGTCAAGTCTTGTCAGAGAAACTTAGCCAAGGAATAAAGGAAGTATGTCGTTGGACACTGGCATGATCAAGTTGCAAGTTTGACGCGAAAAGGCGAGTTCCTTACCCAGGCGTGCGGCTGACAAAATTGACACAAAAATTAGAAAGTAAATAGCAAAAAATTATGACCACCGCAGGGGTCGAACCTGCAATCTCCTGATTACGTATGACATCGTAGTCAGACGCGATGCCATTTCGCCAGGCAGCCGATAATATTCGTGTAATGGAGCAACACAAGTTACCCAGTTTTCGACTGCCCACACCCAATCACGCTCTACTGTCATATCCAAGTACTATCGTGGTTTCAGGCATACAGTTGAGGCAGGGATGGATCAGACAGGTATTATTTTCGGAACACACTATGGACAGAAACCGTTGTACCATTCACCGCTTCTCCTTAACTTTCAACCACACCACACCAATCACAGCAATCCCAAAACCAACAATGAACGCGAACAACACCAAAACGTCCCTATAATAACTGTCAAGGACGAACCCAAAGAGCTGCAGGCCGGTGAGCAACTATCCAGTCATCCTATTCCGACGCTGAGATTCTTACCATTTGCATGATTAGCGAGGCGGAGATGTCGATTGGAACACCCTGCAATTCGTCTTGGATCATCAGCCCTGATCCTACCTCGTTCACAGAGAGAGCTTCGAGAGTGTACTGTGAATTTACATCAGAAAATAATCACCTTTCGTACGGTAGCATCTTACTTTCAGAGGACACAGCCATTGCAGCCACCGTAATACCGGTGGAATAGACGTCAAATGGACAAAGAAACCGGCAAAAGTCATTTGGTATAACGCCGTGAGAGCTGAGACAAGGATCGCAATGCCACCGTTGCGGAAGAGTGTCGCAAGGAGGAAGTTCTGCACGTCGATAAGTAAAACCAGAGCATAGGGATGGGGTGTGAGACTCACGAAAAGCGTCATGACGAGAGTGTAAAGGACCAGGATGAACAAAAACTTGAAAAAGTGTGATGCATCATGAGCAAGGCCAGCCATCCAGTATGTCCTGTCACGTAATGTGAGTCAGTGCTTGAAAGTCGAGGTCATAGTTCCCATCGACAAACATGGTGGACACAATAATCGTTGGGAGAATGCGCAGTGGGATAACATCGAAGAAGAAACGGGATAGGAGCCATGCGGTTGGACTAAGCAGTTGTCAGCTTTCGACACCTGAGAGAATACCTACAAGGCAAACCTATAGTATGAGTTGGACCGCTCGCGGACAAAGAGTGGCCGAACTTCAACAATATTGTACAGCGCGCTCAGGGATGAGAAGGCGATAAGTGATCCCTGAGCTCCATAATCAGCACACCCATCGACTCTGCGTATCAGGTAAATTACCGACCAAGAAGAACAAGCATCCCACACGAGACTGGAATCCAGCGATAGTTACCCCGGTATGGAAGTACAATCCACCTAGTGCCATAACTTCTCAGCGTCAGGTAGATATATCATTCAGCTGACGTACCACAGAATGCTCCCAAGATAGCAGATATGATCACATGCGTGAAGAACAGTGTCTTGTCCCTAGATTACCCCATTACTCCGACTGCTCAACAACACAACAACGTTACTTACCGACGCAGTGATTTCCACTCACGCCCACACAGAACTTGAAACTGTGTCAGGAATGTCGTCGCGTACTCTCTCGTCAAGCTTCGATGGGTACCCATCAAAGCCTCGGCGTCCGTCAAACCGCCCTGTTTTTCAGGGTTGGGGTTGGGTGAGCTTACACCGTTTTCTTCGGCTTTTCCCTCTGAGACTCTTGAAGATGAGAACAACCTGACTGGAGCAGCGCTCGCAATTTCGAGGAGGTAGTCCGCAACGTTGTGCCCCTCTTCGTATGGCGGTACTTCTGATTCACCTGCTTGTGCGATGTTTGCACCACGAACGCTCGTGAAATGCCTCGCAGGAGCCAAACCACCAGACCCCGAGTACAAGGCTCGCCCGTGCGAGAGAAGGAGGACAGAGTCGAATGAGTGATAGAGTCGTGAGCTGAACACCGTAAGGTCGCAATCAAGGAAGGACTCAGAAGGGTAAATCACCTCGGTTGATGAACGCTGCAAATGACTGCTACGCCTTTCCCGCTGGTATCTCCTTTCACAACGCCGAATAAGCCGCCCCCTCCGCGCGCCACCTCCTTGAGCACATTCACGACACGCCAGGCGCTCACAGAATCCAAACCGCTCGTAGGTTCATCGCATACCAGCACATCAGGACACCCGACAAGCTCGAGCCCGATGCTCACTCTTCGCGCCTCACCTCCGCTAATCCCACGACCCGTCCCATCGGTTGCGCCAATCCTGGTCTCCGCAACGTCGTCTAGGCCAAGCCTCGAAATAACAGTCGAGACAAGGGTCGCCTTCTTTTCGGGGGAAAGCGACTCGGGCAACCGTAGAGATGCTGCAAAGGTGAGAGCTTCCCTGACTGTGAGAATGGCCGGCAGAATGTCGGTCTGAGGTACAAAAGCTACCCGTGGCCGTTGTCCATTTGTTAATGGAGGGAACGTGATTGAGCCCGAGAAGATCCCAGACTTTGCCTTTCCTGCAATTAATTCCACCAATGTCGTCTTGCCAGCACCACTAGGCCCAAGAATAGCCATGAGCTGTCCGGCGGGGACGTGGCCGCTGACACCATCGAGGATCGTCGTCTCGCCATCGTTACTCCGCCGAGAGAAGATCGATCGATCGAGAGCGCCCGATGGCTGCACGAAGTAAGAGACGTCTGACCAGCGAACGGTGACTCCGCCACTTTGATCGCCATCAAATGGCCGCTTCCGAGCGGACCGTTGGAGAACCCATCCCCAGACAACCCCAGCAACCCCAATTGCAATCAGGCTGCACACAACAGCCAGGCCAGCAATGACACCTCCGCTGAGTGGAGCCGAGCCTCCGCTCTGGTTGAGTGACGCCGTGCCGTTGGTCGAGTCAATTACTGCCTGGGTGACACACTCCCCGAAAACACAATTTTCCATCGCAAGCCCACTGGACCCAAATAAGCCATTTAAGATTTGCTGCTGAAAGTGACATGTATTGGTGGTGTCGCAAGCGATTGTTAAAGGGCCTGTAAGCGAGTTGATCGTGGCCGTCAAGTTGGCGACGCCTCCGCAGAACGTCGTGTTTGTGAGACAGTCACATTGTAGATTAGAACATGACCAAGTGTCGGTGGTACTCGTCGATGATTGCGTGCATTGGGAAGCAACACATGAGAATTGCTCGACCCCAGAATAAAACAGTTGTGCGTATGCTGCTGGTGACCCATCTGGAGAGAGGGTCGTGCCTGATGTGTTATGCAATGGTGACAGGGAAGCGTTCTGGGTGCGAAGAATGTTCAACGTAGATTGCAACGGGTAGATCGCTTGCAGGGTGGGGTTCTGAAGCAAGGAAAAATCAAAGAGGCTTCCCATGTAGTTGTTGAGGATACCTACGTTAACCTGGCAGCTAAGTTCACTTGCTGCCCATACCACGGGCATGGTATTGCATATCATGGTATCGTTGACACCAGATGTCTGGGCTATGCCTGCGGTTGCACTGGCATTGCCGTTCACAGCAGAGTAGGCGCTCTGGCACGCAGATGAGGTGGTGCAAACGTTACAGCCAATCCCGGTCCATCCGTTGGAACACGAACATCCCGAGGATGTCAAGTTGGGAAACCCACCAGAAGCAGAGGATAGAGGAGCTAGAGAGCGGCTGGAGCCATCAAATATGGTGCCCCCGCAACCCGGTTGAGAACAATCTGACCCTCCAAATCCTGGAGGACAAAGGCACCCAGAGGAACTAGGCGTACCATAATTGAGGCATGATTGTCCGGTGACCGTGAGGAGAAATGATGCCAAAGTAAGGCCTCGGAGCGTCCTTATGAGAATAATTGGTGGTGGCATGGCCAGATCCCGACGAAGGAAGCGCCTGTACTAACACCAGTGTAATAGTAGTAGTAAACGTCGAGAGACAACACATGTTAGCGTGTTCAACATATCCGAGTAGCGAACCGATCCAGGGTAAGTATATGTACGCATCCGTACATTGTTGGTCGGCGCCAAGGCGGCGACCGGAGTGTTAATTTCAACCCCCCGCCGAATTTCGGCGACTGACGAATTATGTAACCGTCATTTGAATCACTCCGAGTCGTTGGCTAGGTCCACCAGCGTGCTGTTTAATTTTTCTTGTCTTCTCTTAGGTTTATCATGTTCCCAAGCGTAAGCAAGTTCCCTCTACTTGGAATCTAAGAGTAACAGTCGTTCCCAGATTTCTTCTTGGTGGTCCTCGTCACCACCAACTCCGGCCCCAACCGGAGAGAAGTACGACCCAACGAATCCGAAGATAAATCCTCTCAACCCGCAGGGTCTCAAGCCGTATGCTACCATATTCACCAGGCTCGCTGATGCCAGTTCCTCAATTGCGTTTTTCAGATGCTGCGCCTGTCCGGAAACTAAGTCTACTCGTGACGCGTGTTTCCTCCAGCACGGTGGCGAGCAAGGCGAGTGTGCAGATCTCATAAAAAAGCATGTCGAGTGCATGCGTGCGCTTGGCTTCGAGATTTAGCTACTACCATACGGATAGCTGTGCCGGAAGGTGCTGTGGATTCTTAGATATGGTACACTTATTTAATCAGACCAGCATATCTAACACCTATTTTTCACCCTTGTATTCATAACTAGCACTTACACCCAACTCCATAGAAACATCCCAACGAATAGAGCAGAATCATGTTGTCACAATCTTTCACGACAACGCTGGTCAGTCAATAAGGATCGCTGGTGACTGTATAGATTCGAAAATTTTCATGCAACCCCTGGTTCATGGGAGAAACCGCAAGTCGAATGGCTATTTGGCCCATACGGGATTTGCCATAGAACGGAAACCCCATTATGATTATGGAAGGGAGACAAGGTCGAATGTACCCTCCGCATATTTGAGCGCGACCCTATTTTTCTCGCATACTTGCACTCAGTTTACAGCGGTTTGCAAATCTCTGGAAACCAAATTCTGAAAAGTCGTGCCTCGGAGACAGCCGGAAAGGACCCCGAGCGCAGCTGAGTGGGTGGCCTGCGCAGCTGAGTAAGCATGTCAGTTTGTTTTGCACCACATCACCACCATCCATGCCAGGGTCCTACCATGTCATGCCTCCCAACATCAAAGCCCAAATCCTGCTCTTGTACAACAACAACCATAGTGTTGATGATATCTGCCACATATT